GCAGTTTTTGCGGGCTTTATTTTCTTGTCTACAGCGGCAAACAAGTGTACGAGTATCGACTGGATTAGATACAATGTTCTTCGCTATTTAGGGACGCTCAATCAAAAAGTATTTCCATTGCAATTTCCACAATGGGCTCCTTTCAGTTCATTGTTATTTTCGTTTTAAAGTCTCAATGTATGAATGATACAAAGACTGTAATTATCGGTTATGGTTCCGTTTGCTCTTTCGTAGTTCTTTGTGAGCAGTAGATGTCTCTATTTTGCGATTTTCTAAGGTGTGGGCTGGCTAAATGTTATTTGACGATAGTATTGTGAGCACGCCCGCAGCGCCATTGTGCACGCACTTTGTGTCTCGATGTATCACTCCCACAATTTTATTATATTTTGCGAATTCACTTACAGGAAGAAGAATTTAAAGAAAGATGATGGATGGCCCTGATAGTCGTTCGAGTATTCCATTGTTCATATGTGAGAAGTTATATGACTCTGGGGAAATAGTGAGTAAATGATACTCCATATTTTAGTACAGATGCGTAATGTAAAAAACTCATGATCTCTGCTTGGCGCTTATTAAAGGGGCGTGGACATGTTTTAATTTTATTTTAATAAAAAGTTTTATCATTGGATTTCGTTTACTGTATGCAACTTGAAAATTGTAGGGATATAAACGGACACGAGTCTGGCGGTGTTTCTTTTCAGTGAGATAAGAAAAGCCGACTACATCTAGTTACAAATGACATGTAAGTACAAAATTGTGTCATATCAGTACGGAAATAAATATAAAATGTCATTTACTAAAGGCTACTTGCATTCGTATAATATGTAGGTAGTTAATACCTACACCATTACAATACCTAAACATGCTTTTATTAGCTTAACAAAGTTGCAATTCATTTTCATACTACTCATGTGGCACTAATTTTACCTATATACAGGTAAGTCTCGTAGTAGTGAAACTAATTCCTATTTGTACTCATAAACCAATTAAGGCAAAAAGCTATAAAATCATTATTACCATCCCCTAATAAAACAATTATCGTGTAACTGCGAATATACCAAGTATTGTACCCACTTGATTAACTCGTATCATCCCAACCATAGTAAAACATATCCAATATTTATGAAAATCGAATCTGGGCATATTTTTAGATGTCTAATGAAACCTATTTGTCAAAAAAAAATATATCTCATTTAGATTTTTAGTTTCAGAACCGATCCAATAATGGAACACTAGGATTATACATGCATGTAAGATACTTTTACTGGCTATGGAATCCGTTTGGAAATAAAACTAGTATTCACCTTTTTTATTTATTAAATCTTATACAAATTAACGTATTTATTACATATTATAGTTATTACATAAAAAAACTATTATTAGGCATGTTATTCAGTATGAAAAATAATAGAACATTTGTTATGTAAGGCAACATTACATTTGATACACTTCATAGTTGTATTTTTGTGGCATAAACCACATCGAGTTTGTTTATTTTGTTTGTCAATTAGATGTCCTTTACCATCTAATCTAACAGCATCAGGCACACGTTTTATTACTGCTAGTGAAGATTTAGGATTTGATATGGTTGAAGTACTAGGGACTAAATTTTTCATTAGAAAATATGTACAAACAATATCCCTCGTAAACGATAAAAGATCATGTGGCGTACCGTTACTTTTCTTTGCAGCTGGAGATATCTTGTACAGCTGAAAAGCGTTATTGACAGCAACATTTAGTGGAAACATAAGTAACTGCCAGTACCATCTTTTCAGCCGAATCCCGATTCGATAACAACCCACGTTTTGGTCAAGTCGGTCTACGCCCCCCATATATTTATTGTATTTTACGAAGCAACGAGGTTGGTCAATATCCTTCTTCTGCTTATCACAGTATCGTTTGACTTTGCTTATGGGTTCTGAACCACATTGAGTCGAGGCCACTGTGACAATGTTATTGTCGTTATATCTAACGAGAGTGATATTAGATAGTACATCAGTACATTGGTGATAAGATCCTCTACTTGTTTTTTTCATTTCTTTTGGATCTTTGAGAGGTGCTTTCTCAGTTCGATTAGCTCGTATAGTCCCCGTTCCATCGTGACCCATTTTTTGAAGCTCTTCAAGCAGTGGTAATGATGTAAAAAAATTATCGAAATAAAAACTGTAGCTACCTTGCGGAAGCTTCGATATTAGGTCCAAAACAACTGAGGCACCAACACCTAACTCAGGATGCGTATTTCCGGTACTAGCTCCCTGATAAAGCTCGCCATAAATCAAGTAGCCAAGTCGCGTAGAAATCGACCAACATTTGTATCCAAATCTAATTGGCTTTCCATGGATATGCTGCTTAGTGCCATGTTTTCCATAATAGGGAATCATAGATTCGTCAATGCTCAAATTTTTATCTCCAGGATAATTCTTTAGCCATCTTGCATTGAGCAGTTTCCATAGAGGGCGCACTTTAGCGAACTTATCATTGGGGTCAAGATTATTATTGTCGGCAACATGGAAATAACGCAACAAATCTTCAAAACGATTTCTCGACATAAGAGCAGCCACTGTTGGAAAACTGCAATCAACTCTTTGTTCCCAATACATTCTATATCTCGATACACTGTTATATCCCGATAATAATAAAATGGCGATAAAATGTTTTATATCCGTCGTAGTAACCCGAAAAGCATGTTTACCCTTCTGAATCGCATTTTTTTCTGTTTCTGACCGCAGTAATTCGAATACCTCTTCATCAAAAAATAGTTCAAAAAATTGAACTGGGTTCTCCAGGTTTTCCAAGAAATCCGGTTCACAGTACTCCTTCTCAGGCTTTTCTGGAATATCAACAAACCTCCACTTTCTTGTGACTTCAAGACGTCTTTTTTTTGGAGGTGGCTGGGTCACCGTCGACGAAGAGGGTTGTGGAGGCTGCGATGCTGACGATGTGGAAGGTATTGAGTGCACTTCTTTTTCGTAACCAACGAACTCGTTCACTATCCTAGACTCAGACGATCTGGTGACCCGAAGTTCAGCTTCTGCAAGTAACTGATTTCTTGACAAATTATTTATACTTGCAAACTCTTCGTCACCACTGTCTTCGTCGCTATTTTGCCAATTATCAGGAGGTGTGATGAAAATATCAGCCCCGAACACGTCGTCGTCTTCCTCCAAGTGCGAAATTATCTCATTCACGTTTAGTCTGCAATAAAATAATATCATAATTAGGTGTCAATACTCATAAAATAAAAATCCGAATGTATAAACGTTACATGTGCGTATGTTCCTACTGCTCCAATAATGGAACAGTACATAAAACTTACACTTACCCACAAATTAGCAACGTTTTTTCCAAAAACGTATTATGACACGATATAACAATATTATTACATTTGTATAATCCCTAAATTGTCAATAGTATAATATAAAACACCATAATTACTTACATTTTCCTGGTCGCCATAATTTTCACTAAAAACGATCAAATAAAATATTTTTTATCGATATGAAAAAAGCGCGCAAAGTGAAATGACATTCATAGAACTGACAGCTAGAAATATCGGTAATACCAACATGAAAAAAAATATTTAAAAATGCGTTCAAAAATTAGAAAAAAAAATTATAAAAGTAACCGTTTTAAAAATGGAACACTGGGATGATACGAGTTAAATACAAAAAATAAAGAAAAAAATCAGGGACCAAAATTAAATACGAATAGCTTCTTAGAGGCGACACGGAGTCTATTAAAATCACTTTAGCGCCTTCTTCAATGGATGATTGAATGCTTCTAAACAATTCATTCTTTCTTCTGTCTCAATGGTATGGCCCACATTCCTTGTGTAATCTTTTTAAAGGACAATAGACGTGACAATGGCGAGCCCTTCACTATTGAAGTGCGTGTAAAATACTGACGCTCCGTTCTATATTAAGGTAACCTTTTTCAGTTATTCAGTGAAGGCAATGCCGCCCAGTGAGCAGGCTCTTAACTTTCAAAGCTTTGAGAGCTAACGAAAAAGTATCATTATCAAATTAAAATCTTCTTTCGAGAACCATAAGATATATTTTACCATGTCGTAGCAGTTTGAGTTTTGTTGTAGGTATTCTATTGGCTACGGTCTCATTATTGTTGTTCTAAATACAATTCAGCTCGTTTCTTCGATTTTATTTTAACTGACCGTAATAAATTTTGAATTTTGTATTGTAGACTGCATGGTTTCCACTTGTGCCCTTAACATGAATTTAATGAAAGTTATATTGTTTACGTAACATTGAGAACAGCTGATCCACAGGCGCCATGGAGCTTTGTAAGCCTTTGTGGCACTTTGCTGTACTTAAAATTTCTCCTCGTCAATTTTTTAATTACTTGTAACATTGTTGGCTTGCATGTAATAATATTAGATGACATAATGAAAATAGGTAGATAACTCCTATTAAATTAATTTTATGAGCACTTACAGCTACACACTAAATGCATCAGTCGTTTATTAGCCATAATATAGATTACTTTATATTCCTTTTAGATCACATTTTTGTTGCAGAAATTACGCCAGGCCGTTACTTAGATTCTATCTTGTAAAAATAATTATTTCGTCTATAAAAGGAGAGTCATTAAAATATAATTGATGTTTAAATTGTTTTGTAACTTGATCATATCTTACTTAATTGTAAGTAGAATAATTACTTAAAATTATTAATTAATAGTTCAGATTGTTACAAGATGATAAACTTGAGATGTAAAATAAAAACTATGTTTGTCATTTCAATTTTAATATAAAAGCGAATAAAAACGATAAACATCTACCCGGTCACCATATTTAAATTCAATGGCACGTGTACAGGTCCACTATGCAGTACATCTTTCAAAGAATATTCCAGGTACAAACCCAAAAAAAAAAGATTTGATGCAGGGGAGTGAGGGGTCCCGTCCATTTTTTTGGGCAAGGTGGGCCCCATATAACGCGGTGCGGCAGTCCGTTGCGCTCATTCACTAGATCGTTGTCGATACCATCGAAGCTCCCAAACTTCTCTCTCTTACCTGCATCGTGCGCAACTATCGTCGTCGTTGCATTCATCCCTCAAAATGCTTCAAGGAATTCAATACAAACCATCTGACTATCATGTCGCTTATGCTAAAAGTGACGCTCCAAGAATGGTGGCGATTGCACCAGCTCCTGAAACAAAATATTTGACTTTGGACATGCAAACTGATAAGAAGAAGTATAATTACAAGAACACCGCGTACACCGGTCCTCAAGCTGTCTCTATCGCGAGAAGGAACGCCCGCGAAAGGAATCGTGTGAAACAAGTGAACGATGGATTCAATGCTCTGAGGAAGCGGCTGCCCGCTACTGTCATTGCTGCGCTGTCTGGAGGTGCGCGTCGTGGATCCGGGAAGAAACTCAGCAAAGTGGACACACTCCGAATGGTCGTGGAATACATCAGGTATTTACAAAACTTAATTGAAGAAAGTGACTCTGCCCACGGGATTACAAGAACATCGCAAGTTGAAACTAAAGCCTCGTACGAAGTGGATGAAGGCGTTTTTGATGGGAATTCTCCTTACTCAGACCCAGTGCCCTCACCAGCTGGCTCGGAGTGTTCATCTGGTGTGTCGTCAGCATATTCAGGAGGTTATGTGCCAAATAACTACCAACCTTACCAAGAGCAAGTGAATCCCATGGACGAGGATGACTTGTTTGATGCTATCTCATGGTGGCAACAGAAGTAAAGCAGTATCAAAGTGTAGTATAATTGTAAAGTCTAGTCTTTAGAGTAATGAACTTTACGTAATTTATTATTTGTATAATAATTTAGAAAAATTGTAGTGAAATACGTAACTAGGTAAATCAATTTATTGTATTGTTATGGCTGTGACTGTAAATATTGTTTAATGCAATAACTTAATGTAAAATAAGTATAATTTAATACTATAAATATAAATAAATGAAAATATAAAATTCAATACAAATATAATGGTGTGGTTTTATTCAAATACGTGGTACCTTTATTTATTGTTTCTGGAAAGATAAATTTAATTTTACAAGTTTTGATCATTTTCATTGAAAATGTTTTAAGATCAATATAAATTGGTATTAAATTAATTACTATTATTCTGAATAGTAAGATAACCAAAGAATATGATGAAGAATTACATGTTTAATATGTATTACACAAATAACTACTTCATATCGATATTTTTATTAAAAATTGTATATCTTAATTTAAATTTTGGGATGAATTAACGTCATACGTTTCCAATTCAAATTGCCAATACTAAATAATTTCGGATTTAGTTCATTTCCATTTTTTTTATATTTTTACCTGACTGAAGGAAGGGTTGCTTTTACATGTTCATTTCTGTTAGGGAAAAGAAATGTAATTATTTAAAGCATGTCTAGGCATAGCATGCAAGAATCTTGCGTATGACGATAAGGATCTGCTATAATGGGAATATGCATTTGTGGCTAATAATGAAACAAGAAAAAGGATGTGTGGACAAGAAATATACTTACTAAAAGTATTGAATAATAATAGATGTGATGTAGATGCATAATTTAATTTGCCTGCTAATATTTCGATTAGATGGCAACGTGAACAATCTTCTGTGTAACATTATTTACTAAATTAAAACATATAAAAAAAGAAACATCGAAACGCATTTCGATAAAAGTGTGAAAATAAATAAATAACTTTTAAATTAATTATCAAAAGAAACGGTAAACGAGATACGAGACCTCGTAGAGATAGCCGTGCAGAATTATTTTATCTTCGTAGATTTAAAAAAGTTGTGATACGGCCAGCGAGCTTGATTAAGCCATCGATGCGCAAACGCAGCTCCGGTACATTGTTATACAAGATTAATGGTGTTCACCGAGATAAGGAGGTGGGAGCTAAATGCATTTACATGTGCGAATAAAAAGACACTGATAAAGGGACAAAGAAGCTCGCGACGAATAAAAATGTTACCATTTATTGTGACGCACACAGTTATGAAGTGCATACAACATTCCATCCCACTACCAGTTAATTGCTTTGCAAACTTATCAAGTTGACAACATTTTGTAATAACGTGGTTTTATATCCATATATTAAAATACAGGACTATGTACCGGCAAACGTTAGTCTCAAATTCTTATCGATGAAGTAAGACGTAAAACTTCTAAGACACGCCATAGTTTTACCAAAGTGACCGTCCTGCCACGTAAGGTCTAGCACGATATCTCATGCTGTCCTTTAACATAAATTAAGATTAGGTTTAATAAAACTTTTAATAGCTCGCGTGTCGTAGCGTCCGTGTGTAAAACAAACAGATTTATATGCAATCGCAGATTGTAGTTTACGATTATGGAAAATGCTGATAGAAGAGGAAGCTAACGAGTAATTAAACCTAATGCGAGTCACCGCCGACATTAACTCACGTAATTGCGATTAATATTTTTACGATCGGCAGCACTGGCAGGCACGTGGGAAAGTGTTCAGACCGCTACAATGAAGCCTCCGTGTCCCGTCTTTCAGTACAAAAGATTAGTGCTTTAAAAACTTGAGGTTTACATTTCGTTGCTTTTATTTGCTTCCGTTTTCTATAAAAAGTTTCAACAATAGAATCGAATGATTTTTGCAAATTCCGGAAACTATTAATTCTATCGATGCTTTGCTTTGTATCGATAATCTTATTATTTGGGGCACGTGAGCTTTGTTGTGTTCGTGATATTTGCGAATGTGCAACGATAAGGCACTTTTTGAATACTTTTGTGTGTTTTGGTTGCTAATAGTAAGTATTTATATTTATATCTTTTGGTTTTGCATAAAGACAAATATCAGAAGTAGTATCAGAAGTTTTTATATCTTAACAATAACAACTCTTCTGAAATATTCATGTTCAAAATATGATCTTTTTGTTATGCGATCAAACTCTCTTTAACCTATTTATTTTTGTTCCAGAACCCTTTCTTCCAAAACTATTTCGATACTTGAACTCGCTTTGAAATTGCAGAAATAAAAACATTTGTTTGTCGACTCAGTTGATGCTTTATCTCGTTAAATCAGTAAACCAGTGTTTGGTGTAGATAATATCTCTTTGTAGTATCATTGTGTTCGAGACTGTAACCACTATTGTTCGTAATTCGCTCAACTACTCCTACAAACTGGTACTAAACGACTGTTGTTGTTAATTTTCTATAATCTCTCTCGTACAATAGAAGCGTTCATTTGTTATATTTTAATTAATCTCTCACTTTCACTGTTATTGTGTTCATAATTAATGGTGTCTGTGTATTGTCGGAAATTAATCGGTGAAATTAATAGATCCGTGTACTTTTCCTAAGATATATGGCCGACTGTTATTCCAATGTTCGTGCCTGAATCGCTCAAGGAAGTTTTTAATAATAATTGGTTTTACATAATTTCGTAATTTTAATGTTCTAAAAACAGTTTTCTTCGGCGGTACGGTAGGTAAAGACATAATTGGTACAGTGATACGGGACAAGGGACCATCACTTATGCAAATGGTTTATAGCCCGTCTCAGTTCCGACGCGGGCCGCCGCATGATTTATTACAAATCGCTACATTATATACTCGAATACATTTACCATACACATGTTACTTTGATCTTAAACACCGAACTTAAGACTTTATTTATCGTTTTATGATTGATAATTATCATTATTAGATTATTATTTATATACTGGATTGTAGAGATTAACGGAAACTATTAAGGGTAATTTGTACTATATTGCTATCAATAAGAGTAGTATTTATGACAGCAAAGACATAACTTGATAGGTAACACTTGAGGAAAACTGGACGAAGCTAAATGAAGGAAACTGTATTCCTAAATAACCAATTATGTCTGTGTAATTATTAGTTTAATTTGACTAATTTTAATTAATTTCATTAAGTGATCTGTGATTCTCACAACAGTAAAAGTTACGTAAGTTTGAGAGACGGAGAGAAGAAATAAGGCTAGCGGCAGACAGGTCCTTGTACATAAATAAATAATCGTCGGATATCGGCTTCCTTCGTCGAGGCTGCGCGGGCGCTGGGAACCCGCGATGTGATCGACGCGGCTCGGGTCACGCGCATATCATTGTTATACCATCGTATGTTGTACAGAGAGCAGTAAAATTTCATTAATTATACTTAATTTATTTTGTTTATAATCATTTGGATATATTCATATGTTCAGATTATGACATCTAGTGAGTGATACGGTCGTGAAGTTTTTTTTACATGTTAATTCTTATGTTATAATAAAACTTTGTTAACTAGAAAGTGATGTGTAATGGTTGAATTCAACGAAGCCAAGATGGATATATTCTTAATATTAATATTTTTGTCAGTTATATTTTATTCATTAAATTAAATGGAATAGTAACCAAAGATTATTTACAAAAATAGAAATGAGTATTAAAAAGGTAGGTATATTGCATACAGATTGTTACCAGACATAAAATATTAAACGAAATAATTAAAATAAAACATCTGTCGACCAGTAGCAGATTCTAAAGAGATTATTGCAAGTTATAATTAGTTGTGCCCATTGCGTTGAAAGCGTGCCCACTTGACCGCGAAACAAAAAAGTATCAGTTTACAAGAAAATATGAATTGCGATATATGATAGTGCTAATTCCGAAATCCAGGGGCAGATATTTCAAAACTTTTGAATGAAATTATAATTATTACTTGTTTCTCACTATGCTACACTTTTATGTGGAAAAAAGGTAAAAAGACCTTTTGAATTTGCTGCAACTCGCAATCGGAAGATACACTTTTGTAATGTGCAATTTGAGAATGATTTCCGCATGATATACGTCAAATAACCAAATCTCATTTTGTTGTTTTTTCTACATTTCCTTCGTCTTTTTGAACACTCCACTGCGGTTCGATTTGTATGAAATTGTCCGGGTTCTCTAAGGGCACATTGTATCAACAATTTTTTCTTGTAATTTCGTACTTCAAATTACGCAACATCGTTTACCACGTACTTTAGTGGCTACAATATATTACAACGTATAAAAAATACTTTTCAAAGATACCGGCGCATTTTATTTCATTTTAATGGCACTTAAGTTGGAAACGTAGGTACCTAATATTTTATTAGTAGATTTTGAAGTTAGGAATGTGTGAGTATCGGCTACCGGGGTGTCTAATAAATATCAGTAGATTCATATATCGTATTTTATAAACTAACGTATTTACAGACAGTTACACAGGTAACATTCGTAAATATGTCGTTGTGCATGTGTTTATGTGCATATAAGATAGTGATGGGACGCCATAACATCGATACAATCACTCGACTCGATATAAAGTTAAAACAGAAGCCAATTGACTGTATAAAAGCTTTCAATGAGGCAGGTGTTGAATATTATAGTGCCAATTGGCATGAATTGAGCGAACTGTATCGATTTAAAAGTAATATCATTGCATTGCTACTGACTACTATTACGTGTAATAACATGTACCACGTGTAAGTTATATGTGCTTGATAAAGAAGAAGTCAAAAAATTAAAAGAATAATATACTTGGCACTTTAAGTTGAGAATCGAGTTTATTTTCGCAACAGAACATCGAGTCGAGAAGAAAGTAGTGTTGATCGCATCATTAACATAGACACGGGATGGAGATGTTAGTTTAGTAGACAGGACAGTGGCAATGCAGTGATTTAGATAGAACACCGCTGTGCCCAGCGTGACCTTACTGTAATAACTTACAATAGAAATTATTGATTTTATTGTACATTCTACATTCATTCATTTTCTATCGACGCAATAAAAAGAAGATTTGTTGTAAAAATGTTACTAGCAACATACCATACAATCTAAGACAACCAAAAGAATCACCTTAAAAATTTGTTATATATATCTCGCACA